GCATTTTTTTTTATTCAAAAAAAATTCTGGCGAGACGCGAAACTTTAGAGAAAACTATATTATCAGTGATTTGGTGTGGTTGATAATATCACTTATCTTTCTCTTCATAGAATGCAGCGAGATCTGGTTTATAATCACGAAATGAATATATGCATGTTTCTATGGCCATCATATTAACTCGAGATTATTTTAATTTTCTGTGCATATATAAGTGAAAAACCAAGAATAACTTGTGTGGATTGCCTTGGTATGAAAGAGATTAGTCGTTCTTACATGAAACAAAACATCAAAGACGTTTTTGAGAAAATATAGACTCTTAAAAATGAATTCTAAATAATTATTCTGAAGTTTAAAGTAAAGGAGTGAACAATATATAGACGATTCTAGAAAAAAAAACAGGTCTAAACAAAAAATACTTTGTGATTAATGAAATAAACTGAATCCGCTCCTGACTGTAGAGAACTCAGAGGATTATATATAGAATAATCCGTTACACAGCATTTGCACTGAACGTATAAAATTCGCAAAAAACCTGATGAAATGAGAATCTTTAGCTTGTACCAAACTCCTGAAGCAGCAATCTAATTACAATCTTCCTCTTGAGAGGCCAAGAAGATGGAATAAATTCCGTTCCTGAAGTAAAAATAAAACAACCCTTAAGGATTAGCTGCAGTTTGTTTGATAGCAATGCCACCACCAAGTTCAGCTCTTACAAACAATGTTGGCTTGTGTACCGTTTGCTCGCTCTCAATTAGTACATAACAGATTTTAATTGAAATTGCCCGTGCATTTTATAAGGGAAAGGTACGACTCGAAATGAACAGGATGATAGTCAGATACACTAACAGATAGGTGAGTAAACTGATACATAAACAGGCAGAAAGATAGACGAATAGACACAAAGGACAACAGAAGTAGGCAGATAAACCCACACGTAAATAACTGCAAAGAAAGAGATAAAGGGATTGGGAGATAACTATAGAATTACGAATGTGTTAAGTCTATTTGAATTTGAGTTAACAAAAGATTTTGTTACATATTGTTTGTTCTGTCCAACTGTATCTTATTAAACTTTAGCGATTCCTGGGATGGCTAGCTTCTCGAGAGAAACCGTAAAAATGACGCAAGATATTTAAATTAAAAGCTGATACAACATTGTAAAGACACAATAAACTAGCTTTGAGTAGCATCAAGTAATTATACAAATTCTGCCGAAGCTAAAAGGTCGAAATTGTTCGGTAGTAACACCAGCACTCAAGTGAAGATTATATATTATGTTAATTACTTAGATTTTTCTTTAAGCGATCGAAACACAACAGCAATCACCTGAATCTATTACTTTGTCTATGAAAATGGGGGGAAAAATCGCTATTTTTGCTGTGTTTTTTTATGTCCGGATGTCAAGTCCAATTCTGAACAAGTATGAAAGCTAATTAATATATCATCCGATTCATAGCTACTTACTAAAAACTTAAAAACCATTTTTAGAGTGCAAATGAAAATGGAATATCTCCGAAAAACCAAAACAAAAAACTAGCCGTGATTTGGAATACTTTTCATCAACACCCAAAACAGCCTTTTTTGTGTTTTATGTATGGTTTACTTAGTTGTCTTTTCTCACCACAGTGAACTTATATTCACATAGGATTCGAGAAATATGTGGCATTGATGTTACTGATTGATTCTACTGAATTGTTCACCAGACAAGCTGTTTAACAAAAGAAACCTAACCATGAGACTCAATCTATCATTCTATTTTACCGGTTTCTGAGATTTTACTCCTCATCAACAACCATGGAAATTAAAAAGTCAACAGAAAAAGACCAAGTGAACCATACATAACATGTATGGAGTCTTTTGTTGTCTTTTACTCACGGAAATGAACATATATGTATATAGGTTATTAAAAATAGCTAATATTAATGCTACTAATATATTATTCTGAATTACTGAGCAGACAAGTTGCTTGAAATACTTAAAATAAAAATGAAGGCTAGTCTGTTATTTGATTTGTTGTTGTCTAGGAGTAATGATGAAAGGTGGAATTCCCAGAAACCGGTATAACTCGATGCCAAGTGTGAATCGGATCACAGATTGCGCTTCATATTTATTATTAGTACTTTGATCAGTTTGTCTGTTGAATAATTTAAAAGAAAAAATCAGCAGTATAAATGGTAGATATAAATATACGTTTATTATGGTGAGTAACAGACAACGAAAAACACCAAACACCTAATTTCAAAGTTACTCAGATTTTAAAATTTATTGTGGGCTGGGGTGTTTCAGTGAGTAACGTGCCCAGACTATGAATTCGGGGGTTCCTTGTTCACATCCCCTTTCCCGCAAAAACACCAACGAAAAAAAAAAATGTATCCCGCACAGTGGGGCCGAGAGTGTACTTTAAAGGTGATGGGAAAATCTCACAATAGTTTGTGGTGGGTGTTGTTGACTAGCTATCTTCCCTAAAGTCTATCAGGTCCAAATAATGGACGGCTATGCGCATATAATCTTTGTACAGCATGCTCGAACATTTTACAAAACAAAGTTCAAACTTATAACCAGTTTTCTTTCAAAAATATATATAATTTGCTGCTACGGCATCAAATATTCCATAGAGGTAATTCTGAGGAATATGGATTTTATTCCATCATTTTGAAATCAAATATATATAATAAAAACAGACGTTAGTGAATTGCCATATTTTATGAAGCTGAGTGATGTAATTGAAATATATGTATTGAAGTAATTGTTTATTATAAGATTGCCTATTTTGAAACTATTAATGGTTTTAACTACGTCTAAACACTTTTCTGAAAATGTTGATATCATAGTATATCAACAACACCATACTTCAGCTGAGACAAGAAAAATAATACATAGTAATTTCGTCAATTTTTGTAAATCCTTTGCATTAAACTAACAGCACGGACTTTAAGCGGACGTACTAAGTAACGTGATAATCATTTGATGTATGGAGAACTGCTTTTATTAATCTCCACAAAAGCATATGGAAACCTACAGAAGCAGATTACGACCTACGGATTTTGATATTTTTGTTATAAATATATACCGATAAAACGCGTTAAAGGTTATTTAAGAAGTAAGGGAAATGTCAAGAACATATTCTGGGCAATACAGTTTTTCATTTTGTATTCAATATGTAACACATCTTTATAGTGTAAAGCTTGTTCATTATAAATTACATGCCCTCCCCAGTGGCTCAGCAGGAAGTCTGCAGGCTAAAAATCGGGTTTCGATACCTGTGGTGGACAGAGCACAGATAATTTATTGCGTATCTTTGTGTTTAAGAACAATCACACCACAAATTACAAGTTGACATATATGGCTGGCTAGATTGTTTTACATAAGAGCTTAACCTTAATTTCAAGTGTTATTGTACTCACAAAGATAGAAAATAACACCTTCTCCAAAAGTTAACTTTTGATAATAAAATCTATATTCTTGTCAAAGACAGGAGTAACGTTTTCAGTTTGTTGCTCAGATAGTTCTGAATTAAGTCTTATTGAATACAGAAGGAAAAAACAAACCAGAAATTCCAAACAGAGAGTATTTTATAAAGAGTAATGTTTGGTCACCATATCCAAACACAATACCGTTGACACATTTAATATAGAGGGTTGACTACATTATACTAACGCGATTTTGAACATGAAATTTTACAAGTCACGTTACAACCACAGGCGATATAAAGACGCGGTGGGTGGCGTGTATCAAAACCACATTTCAACACTGTTAAGCGTTCCTAGGTAATGTGATGCCACTGAAAAGTGACCGCTTTGGGGAAGGGTATTCATATATATGTGTACGTGTGTGTGTGTATGTAACATCTCTTTTCGACGCAAAACATTCATGCACTAATATCATAAACATGTGTTCAGATCGGGTATTTAGAATTTATAATATGTAGATATCCTGTGTATTGAATTACACTGGAAAACAAAGGAGTATGGATGCATCAATTTGGGATACAAGACCATCCAGAAAGAGACCCGCATTAGGTCGTCTTCAGACGTGATAAGCAACATGCAGCTTCTTGTAACAGATGAGAATCCACGAAACAAAGTTCAGTAGCAAAAGCTGCCGCGTGTTGCAGACAACAACACACAACACAATCAAAGAAGGAACTCAGTCTGGTAAAAAGCGACACAAGTCATGTGTAAACAAGTTGTTCTCATGATATATCCCTTTCAACTGTCGCATACCTCAAGCAGCTGGAGAATGAAACGGGCATTCATACTATTCCATACGAAGTCCTACTCGTACACTAGATGTAATTATGGTAAGTCTGCGGGAAGAAGGGGTTTGCATAATACATGGAAGTCTTACAACATAGCCTTTTGCAATGGAAAATACGCTGCAAGGCTATTGTCAAGACGCATAGTCATCAAATAGAGCATGATCAGACGTGGCGACATGGTATGTAGAGACGTGGTGAGGCACCAAAATCGTTTTAATATAAAGTACTAAACATCTGTATAAGTTATGATAATAATAATAATAACATAAACTTCGATCGTATCTCCGCACATAACTTATTTTCACTATTGTTTTTAAGTAACAACAATTCCGAAAAATACATTGAAGTAGGAAGATAACGAATCGTACAACTTTCAAATAGTTAGCATTGATATGATTTAAATACCCCCCCCCCCAGTGGCACAGCGGTATGTCTGCGGACTTACAACGCTAGAATCCGGGTTTCGATACCCGTGGTGGGCAGAGCACAGATAGCCCATTGTTTAGCTTTGTGCTTAATTACAAACAAATGATTTAAGTATTCTAAAATTTAATCAACAACCTATGTATAATCCTAAAATGTGTTCTTACATTCTATTTACTACGATTAATTATACAAACAATAAAACTACAATAGGAGAAAGGAAATAAACTTTTGAAGAAATTTCAGAACTTATCTCAGTTTTGTTTACTGTCTATAACTTTTCTTAGAGGTTAAGAAACAAACGAGACTCTGACCTTACCTTCTATTGTTTGGGTTTTGCTATCGATTGTGTATCCTCTAATTCAGAATCCTCCTCATAATGTTAGAAATGGATTACGTTGGTCCACTATATCATCATTTGTAACGATCATACAAAAACATTCCACTTTCATAATTAGATTGCGATAATATTTGTCTCTGGAAGAAAGATCGCATTAAAATATTATCAAACTCTTCACTATAGCTACGTTACACGATACTTGGTAGTATAAGTGCTATTTACTCTACATCGCCACAACTTATCTGAGATTCTTGTTCAGTTAGTCCCGCTACTTAAATCTCAGAAGTTCTCTGGATGACGTCAACACCATGAGTGTGCGCAATCGTGTCTCTGAATCTTCTTGTATAACGCCTCTTTTCGGCCTTGTGGATAGTGATATTCGCCTACAGCTCGTTCAACACCACGCTTCGGTTTCTGATGTAAAATAAAGAGCCACGTTTATCTATTTCGCCAATTATTTATTTTAATGTGCATCTAGGTTATCCCATAAAACAAATAAATTGCACTTAATTAGGACTATTTTCATATAAAATCTTTTGATAATTGTTATTTGCAAAGAACCTATACAAAAAAAATCCCCAAAAGCATCAGATAACCATTTTATCTACCAGTTAAACAGTATGTATGCATGTATGATAAATGAAATGTATGTGTGTTACTTATACAATTCTATCGAAAGTTTTTCGAATATAAATTGTTTGTTTTGTAGTTAAGCACAAAGCTACACAAATGGCTATCTGTGCTCTTGCCCACCACGAGGGGCTTCGAATATAAAACGAGAGAAACATTTTTGTCCAGCCATAATAGAAAAGGTTCGTTTATCGGTTATTCGCGCAAACATACTCGCAAACAAATCTAGTTAAGTTTATTGTTTGCCAATAAAGAATAAGAGTACCCTACAATCACTTCACAACGATAGAATCCGGGTTTCGATGATTTTTAACAAATAAAACAAATCTAGTTAAGCTTATTGTTTGCCAATAAAGAATAAGAGTACCCTACAATCACTTCACAACGCTAGAATCCAGTTTTCGATGATTTGTAACAAATCTAGTTAAGTTTATTGTTTGCCAATAAAGAATAAGAGTACTCTACAATCACTTCACAACGCTAGAATCCGGGTTTCGATGATTTGTAACAAATAAAACACATATCTAAAATGATATTTTTTCGCAATTATTACTTACTATTACTGCATTGAGCCAATTAAAAGGAATATGCCTATGAAACAGCGAACATGGACAGAGAAAGGATACTTGATCCATTACACTAATAACATTGATTAATCTGTTTTGAGTATTTGTCGGCCTGATTAACAAATCATGTAAAATTCAACACAGCCATGCCTGGGTAGTTGACCTTTTGTTCCTGTTATCTTATGGTTAAACGAATTAAATCCTGAAGCAGAAAGAGAGAGAGCAATGCTAAACCTCATTAATAGTTAATAACCTGCCGAAGTTAATGATTCATTGAGCAAGGAAACTTGTACTGGTGTATTTTGAATCATTTCTCTTACTTTAACACCTCACATTTCAGAAAGTATTCAACTTTCTTTTGTCTTCTAGTTCACAAAAACACATACATTTTCATAAGAAATTCAACAAAAACTAGGAATATGATAGCTAATATCAAACAAAAACATTATGGGAAACTGAGAGCTGAGTTTTGTTGCCTGATATCATCTCGAGTGTTTCTCAGTAATATTTAGATAGTCAACCAAATCCCCCTTCCTAGACTCTAAAGTTAAAATAAGTCTTACTGGTTACATAAGGTTATTTCTTATATATTTTGTGCTTAATTACTTCATGCAGGATAGTGTCAATCATCTAATGATTATCTATTTCTGAGCAAACTTCTTTATACGATTGTTTTATCTAGTGTATACCTACCACTAGTTTGGTCTATAGTTGTTTTTAAGTTGTATTGGTCTTCAATTGTTTTCGCAAAAGCATCGTTTCGTATACCACTTAATATTTTCTTGTTACTCGTAAAATTTCCAGAATCCAACCCAAGGGGGATTTGTTTAAGTTATTTCTCCATTAGGGAGCTAATGTGTACAATTGCGCTAATGATGTATAGCGAAGGTTCTTCATATAATGTTTGTCTTTGAGAAATACTAACTGTTAGGAAACACCAAAGACTTATCTATTACTTTAGTTATCGCGTCTATTAGGATACGTACAGTCATACCCTGAAAGAGATTAGATACCCATAAAGCTGAAACCAGTTATAGCTATCTGTGCTCTGTTATTCGCGGGTATTTAACCCGATTTTTAGCAGTATAAGCCCGCCGAGTCACCGAGAGTCATGTTTATGAGTAAAACTTGTCGATCTCATTCAGAGCATCAGTATTTGTAATCGTAAAATATCAAACTGCACTTTGAGCAAATAATCATCACGAAAACTAATTCTCAATTCTGAGAAGCTAATAAGATTGCCATTCTCAAACGTCAGAGTCTAGCTATTCTGCGAACGATAATGCTTCAGTATTCTTCTGCTGATACTCTTCTGTTTTTGTTGTTGACACACATTCACTAATTAACTTTTGCCGATGTTATGCTATTTCTGCAGGACTATTCAGCATTACGTCGCCATCTGATTTTGTCTCTACCTTTACTAGTTCTGTTATTTTCATCTTGAGTTGTTTACTGGAGTCTGGAATTCATGTGGAAATCCAAGTCCTGATTATTTTATATTTTGACGCGATTAGCAACAATTAGTTTTCGTTTTGAAAACAAAGATGTGTCCTGTTTCTCATGTTAATTGTAGATTAAACTGGTCAGATAATTGACTTTTAAATTGATAAAGATTTAGTCTGTCTACTCATCAATGTCTATACCAATTCTAGACAAGGATTCATCTGTATTACAAATTTTGACGTTATATTCAGCTAGCCACGCTTTACTAGTTGGTTATCTTTCTAATTTCCATTATAATAATTTGAGGTAATTCAGACGAAAAAAAAACACGATATTCTTCTTCCCTGCTTCTTATGTTGAACCCTGTAGTTGCATTCTGTAAACAAGAGTCTGACCTCGATACAGTATCTTATGAGGAACCATTGCCCATAAAAATGCCGAACAGAAAATAATTAAGACATGCATCTCAAAAAATATTACATGTAATAAAGTAGTATTCTGCAGTACTACAATATTTTCAAATCATTAATGGAAGCTTATAACCTTTTGAATGTTGAAATAAAAATGAACAAATTGGCATACATACTGGTGGAATAGTGATACTGATAGCGCCTGGAAAGCACGCAATCAAGCCAAGGCTAAGTTCATGCGAATAAGACATGACGAGGCGAGGACTGCCCAGAATTGAGCCTATGCTCTCTACAGGCAATCAGCTTCAAAAGCACGTAACGTGAATTGGAAGTACGTCATTTTTTTCATTCCCGTAAGCTTATGGCTGGCATAGGAACCATAAACAATGATAATGATAGCACTCCACTCCGTACAGATGAAATCAAGACAAGGCCTTCATGGGCAAATATATTAAACAAAGTGACAGTGATCATGGTGATATGCAGGAGAAGCTAAAGCCACAGGAATTCCTACTTGAGCTACAATTGTATGTAGATATGGAAACCATATGTGATATTTGGACATATGATATGTTTTTACCCCCTTAACAACCAGTTATTTTTTTAAATTTTCAATGTAAATGGTTAATTCTTAATATAATACATTGGTCAAGGGAGCTATTAAGTTTCTCTGGTTTTGGTTATTTGGGACTGTCCTAGTCTTCAAGGTCATCGCATGTGTTTTCCGATAAAAAGGATCACTGTAGCATGAATCATGCTATAAATTGAAGCAGTGGTCTGTTCTAGCAGCGAACAATAGGATTGCCTGTAGATATGACACAATTCTTGTTGACATGAGAGTGGCCCTCAGCCACATGGTACCCTTTTGTCTTTTGTTTGTAGTTAAGCACAAAGCTACACAAAGGGCTATCTGTGCTATGCCCATCACGGGTATCGAAACCCGGTTTCTAGCGTTGTAAGCCCACAGACATACCACTGTGCCACTGGGGGCCACATGGTACCATTAGCAAGGTATTTCCATTGAAACGCCATGTGCAAACTTAGGTCTTACAATTTACAGCAGCATACAAGTAAAATAAAAAAGGAAAAACGTAAAGGAAGAATAATTTATTACCGCTACATGGACTAGACTTGGTACTTTTTTTTTTTACCAAATAATAGTATACTTCAAAAGGCCTCGTTCAAAATTATTGAAGATATAAGTTAGTACAAGCTAAACTACAATAAAATTCCAATAAGGCAGATATGATTTTATTCAATGTATAAAAATAAAAAACAACTCTTACCAAATTACAGCTAATATGTCTCAAATGACAGAAATCAACGATTAGTTCATGAACTAATGGTAAATGTAGATGCTGATATTCTCTTGTTTTCCAGATCTGAAGTAGTATGCGTATACGGTCTTAGTCAATAGCAAACACTAAGAAAACTTATAACTGTATTTTGTTTTAAAAAAAACCTTAGGATTCTGATTTTTGAAACACTTTCTAATTCATTATTTTTTAAACAAAGAAATCTTAGTTAGGATGGTAATAATTTCAGTTAAATAAGCTTACACAATTCAGAATAAACAACAACAAAAAAACTGCCACACGTTGAACAGTGTAGATGCACGCTGTATAATTAAAATTATCCCCATACAAATTCAAAACTTAAACTTTTAAAAATTAAAGGAAAGTTGACTTCGTTCTACAAGCCTACTCTCAGTAGATAATGATTAATATCTATCGAAGAAAAGTGTTTAACTAGAAAAGTAATTAAGAAACAGGCACTGATATACATAATATGATCATTACGTAGTTGATGCTATATAACAAACGACATACAATTTACAACTAGTTGAAATAAAATACTGTTTAGGATTTGTAGCTTCTAAACATTTTATTATCTCATTACATACAACTTAGCACATATACCAACGTATTTTTGGTCATTATCGAAATTGGACGAGTTAGTTCCAGTTCCTTAGCACATGGTTTACAGCGTACTTATCCTCATTATTGAAATGGGAGCTTAATCCCAAGTTCTTTCATTTTGTATAAAATAATGAAATCATCTGGGATTTGTGTTATGCAAATAGCATGCACGAGGACGGCTGCACAGTGAGCTTGAGAACAAACGTTTAATAAGAAATATCATTTTACTTCGGTTTCCGATTGTTTTTCTCTGTTACTGCATTAGGAGCAATTACCCTCTCGC